ACGTCATGCCAACACTGGCGAACATTATGGAGCATACGGAGTACACCTTATGAGGGTCACGGGTTGAAAAGGTTGTCTGGTTAAACCCATTGAAAACAATTCCCACAGCTATAGTAGCTCCCGATAGCTCTAATAATTAGATCGACAACGACCCAACTTTCTAACCCAATAATACGGACAAGAAGAATGTCCCGAGTGTCTCAGCCGCAGGTTAAGAATGGCGGGCCAGGAACCTTGGGAATGGTGCCAGAAACAGGAAAGATCAAGGGGGCTTCCTACTCTTAAGGGCGCCAAAAATAATCCCACCCAAGTGCTCGTGCGCAAGAAGGCGTGACGGTCGGAGTAATGATCCTCTCCTGCAGGCGTTAGCGCGCGAGATGACGCGACCTGATCGTAGCAATGTGGTGACCTGAGCGATTACCTAACTGACACATGTCTTCCGGGGCCCGGGTGCCTCTAGTGCCGGCTTAGTGATAAGCCACGATTCATCTTTGCCACAAAGCTATTTTTGAGTCGCACATGTACGCCATACAGGGCAATGACCTAGATAGGTATATGAATTAAGTGTATCTGGGTGTCGTTAACTACGCCGTAATTAGTTAGTGAGGTTGTAGTTAACTACCTTAGTTAGTTAATATTTATCAGGTGATGTGACTGACTAAGGCCTCCTCATGACATCATTGGCCCCACCCCATCCACTCTTCCAAGTACTAGACCGGTCGATGCTATGCAGGTGATCGATACATGGCAAACCGGTCGTTTCCAAGTCACTGCACTGCTTGCGGCCATCTCCTATCAATACACATTCGTCATTGCCCGGGTGGGAACCCAGTGACCTGATTGGTACTTGAATTAGGAGAACTGTGCCATCTTGTGACCCTAGTTGATCGTCAGGCAACTGGCTTTTTTTTTTATAAAGTGTGTTCTTTCTATTCGGCTATGTGGCATAACTCCATATATTGAAGTACTCCGTATATAATCTTGGAATAGAATTGGAATGATTTTATATCCAAAGCCTAGACCCATGGCACTATCCTTCGGAACCAGGGCGCAGACCCTTCCCCTGTACGGAACGCTATCCGAGCAGGGCCCGATGTTCAAAGATTACATATTTCATATTACATATTTAACAAGATTATGCCCAACATTTGCCATCGCTTCGAATTCAACGGGTTGATACTACAACGTACGTACTCTGAACATGTCTTTATTCGGATAGGTGGATCCACTATGCTATCGCCATCAGAGGCATTGCGACACGCACAGAGACAACACACAATATAGGGCATATTTAGGGGCATATAATAGACTAATACCACATTATCGACAATAATATAGCCCTCCCGTATAGATATCTTCGAATATATTAGCAATAAAATACCCAAACTCGTATGTGTGACCGGTGATCGCTGCCCCCCCGCATGCTCAAAGGGAAAGGCCCCCGCAAACCTGAGCGATTTTGGCTCATACCGGCCCTGACTCTTTCTCTCCTTCTTTCTCCTCTTTTTTTTTCCCTTCCACCTTTCTTTTTTTTGATCACCTCACCTTTTTTCTTTATTCGCTCTCATTTTCTCTCTTCATATCATCTTATTCTCGCATTCATTGCTCTCCTCTACCTATACATCTTCGACCCGGAATTCGGCCCCATTTCACCCTCACGGAATTGAGGGCAGCTCGTGTTCAGGAGGATTGTCAATTCCATTGGAAGCTTCCTCTCATTTCTTACCATGGCCTCGTTCAAGGTATGTATCCGGCATTTTCGCCGCACATCTTTTTTTTTTAAAGGGGGGGCCATACTAATGTACCGGCTTCTTTTTGGCTCTGCACAGGAATTATCCATGTCGCGTCCTCTCCCCAATACCAGCCAGCGGCATCACACGCATTCTATCTCGCTCGGTGCCCTCAATCCAAACCACCGTGTAACTCGCCGAAAGAGTGTTACCACCGCTGCCGCCAATGCTGCCGCAGTCGCTGCCTCCATGGAGGGCGGGGAGGCTACCTCGCTCCCCATGGGTGCGCACCGCCGCGCCCTAGGAGGCCGCAAGGGACTGGAGTCCGGTTCCATCGGAAACGTATCTGGCTTCAGCTCCTACCTCTCCCGCAGCATCAACAGCTCCAAGCAGGAATCATCGGTCGCCCGCAAAAGTTCTCCGGGATCAGACAACTCCGATGGCAAGCCCGATGACCGGAACCGCCGAGCCAGCGAGGGTGCCCAACTCAAGACCGAAGGGAAGCGTGCTTCGACGGCCATACGTTGCGATCGCTGCGGGAAAGGGTACAAGCATGGCAGCTGCTTGTCCAAGCATATGTGTGTATCCCCCCTACCGCTCGGCCGTCTTCTTCTAGCTCGATCGGGAATATGCACCATGTCGGCTCTGTGCAGGTCGCCCTCGTGGTTATTCAACTTCCCTTCATCACTGCCCCCCTTTTTTTTCCCATCCCTTTCAGCAACATTTAATTGACCAATTTTTTTTTCGTGGTATCTTAGGTGGGAACACGACCCAGCATGGTCCGTTACTTCGAAGCTTCTCATCTCCAAGCATCAGCAGGTTCAACTGCTGGAGGCCGCCTCCGTTTTGGTCACCATGAACCACGACGATCCACCCGATGAGTCCGCCGAGTTGGAGTCGGAATTGTCGTCTGGATCGCCGGGCGCCCTGTCAGAAATGCAGGATGGAATCAGTTCGGCTGAGACCACCCCACCCCCAATGGACTCGGAGGAAGATGACGATTTCGAGATGTCGGGTGTGCCGGCACAGTGGACCAAACGCCCCAGCATCAGCAACGCATCCGGTTTCTCTCGTTCCTACCAGTCCATTCCGTCCAGCTCGTACAACGAGAGTGCTCCGCTGCACTCGCCTACCTTCTCCCACTTCCGCCACTCGAGCATCGACACCCGTCCTTCAACTGCGGACACACGGTTACACGAGGATGACGAGGCGGATCTTGCCGCGGCCATCGGCCTGTGCAATTTCGGGACTCCTCGCACGGGGCCTCTTTCCATGACCCGCGACGTGCCACCAGTGCCTCCACTGCCGGCGCGTTACTTGGACTCAAGCAGCCACCCGAGCAACCAGGGTCTCTACTCCCCCCAATTACGCCCCACCGAGGAGGCCGCTCGCCGAGACTCTGAGGCCAACATCTTCTTCTCCCGGTCGCTCAACCCATCGCTGTCGTACAAGGTGTCGGATGAGCGTGAGGTCCGGACTACTGGTGGTGATGAGGACCAACAATCCCGTCAACGTCGCAACGCCGATGTGGACTTTGGTAACCGCTCCGCGCCGGCCGATGACGACGATGGCGGTGTCTTTGGACACATGGAAGAGTAAATCCCCCAGTACTCTCCGCGCCTTCGCGTGGGTCAAATCGGCATATGCCGAACGATGACCCCTTCACGATCTCATGTACGAGCTTGAGCGAATTTTTTGACCTTCTTGTTTACATGTTTCCAACCACTCCAGATGGAGAATAGAGCGGATGTCCAATAATCGGTCAGAGCTCTTTTCTCAACGGGGTGTTTCACAATTCTCGGGACCTTTTTTCACCACCTTTTGAGATCCCATGTATCAATCATGTCTCCTTGGTCCGCTTTGTGTTCTTTGTGTTTTGTTTTGCCACGGCTTATTCTGGAGACCCCTATAAACGGCCTACTCCGCATGGCCGGCGCATATTATCATCCCCATCAAATATTTATATCCATAGGGACGTGACATACCACTTTCATGCCCTCTATGCTTCTTGTTTGTCTTTTCCCCTGTTCTGTTTCTCTCACCTCGCACGTATATACCAAACCCACAAATTCTACGATCCGCTCCCCTACTTTTCCCACATGTGCATCTCGTCCGTTCTTTTCTCTCTCCGTCTCCTTGCCCATCTTCTATCTCTCGCCTATGGTCTCTGACTCTTGTGTACTCAATTGACCCTCGGACGGGGCATACAATGAATATATTTCATGAACGTATACTATTTTATAATGTAGATCTACCTGTCATTTCCGCATCTGTCCCTGTGCCTGTACATCATAAGCGGGGAATCAAAAGACCCACTAAAGGGTACAGGTCCATATTTTTGTCGAATCTATTTTCGTCATAGGGGAAGACGTCGAGTGCATTCGAGAACAGAAAGAAAGAATCCCCCCTATAGATTTATTTTTGATCATGAAGCAATTTATCCACCGACTAGGCCGTGGGGATTACGCGAGCTTCGTGGAATTAGCATGATTGCAGGTCGTGTGACCCCAGGATTTATCACTCTCTGAAGAGCAGTTACCTCGCTAGCTTCCAATACCCTAACACTCCTTTCTTTAGTCTAAGACCCTCCGTAGCCGATAAAATCCTGTATCAGTATACTTGTTGCCATTCTTAACGTGCCCCTATCCGAGAATGGTCAATTTTATCGCCGTAGTGGACGTCGTTTCTCGAGTCGATGGAATCTCGCGTCAATATCGCCACCTACGACTATCAGATTAGGTTTCCTCATACGATGCAGCCAGGATTGGTATAGCCTCAATGCCTCAGAATTTAGGCATAATGCTCACATGAGAGTTAGCTTTGAAACGATTCTAGTGACCAGTAGAGATCCCCTCTCCAAGAACAGTCCATCTATTGCATATAGATCTATTGACTTGGAACACTTTGGGAATTCACGAGGGTGCAGAACTTCTTCGCTAACTCTCGTATGTGACCGAAGATGTGAACGTTCGCTCAAATAGTACCACTTGAGCCTATCCCTATAGTACAGGGTGCTATTTTCTATCGCTAGGTTCGGGTGAACCAAGTCCGCTACCGCCAGATCCTTGTGAACATCAATCAGAGATGAGTTACAAAGAACCAGAGGCCAGTCATTGACGGGACCTTTGAGTGGCTTCCAGAAGCTGCCGGCAACGACAATGAGTGCTGGAATCGTGGAATACAAAAGGTGTAGGAGTATCTTACTTGATATACTGGAATCTCATCTTTAAGACTGTATCTGCCTCTTTTCCATCTGGCGCCGTATCTCATCTATCGTTTCTTCATGGCTTGTGTCTAGATTTAGGGTTGAGAGACTGCGCTGAGCGACAACCCACATAGCAGTGCAATCTTACCTACATGAGCCACTGTGGCTGGCTGATCATACTCATACCTCGTTCATCTGATCTTGGATATACAGGGTGCGGTTTTCGTATCTAGAGGAGCTTGTTAAAAACGAAGTAGGGGGGAGAAGTTGTACACCGTGACGAAAAACATCCACCCGACTGGCACGGAGACCTCCGTCAAACGAAGGTACTTTGTGACCCTCTTCTACTCGAGAAAATCGCTGTACCGGAGACCCGTGTTGAATAGTAAAGCCATTGCGCTCGAGCTGAAACTGGTCTTCCTGTCCCCGAATATTCTCGCCGGGAATACCGTCTATTGTCTGATGAGTCATGTTGGTCTGATGCCAACCATTGTGGGGTGGGAATTTGAACGAATAGGGCCGCTGTTGCCGGTACAATCTGTTCGGCTTCAGGAAGAACAGGCTGGGATGAACCGTCGAAAAAGATTGATCTATCGGAATAATCATTCTTTGCTTATTTGATTCAGTCGTAGTGTGAATGGAGAGCAAGGAAAGCTTCAAATCTGATGTATCAACAAGCTCTTTTGCTGCACCTGAGCCATTCCAGGCTACCGGCAGATTCTCTGCTTATAGCGCGACCTGTAGGCTGTCGGTTCCCGACTCGCAGGAAGTCGATGCAAGAACCCCTGTCCCATCATCATCATCATCATCATCATCATCATCATCATCATTACGTGGCTCCACAAAAGCCCCTGCTTTCTCTACAATAACACCGTTCATTGCGGGATCACTCGAACTTTTCAGCTTGGTCATATCTATCATTGACTGGACGTGGGCAGGGCAGGGGACTCAGCCATCTACGGGTGTATAATAAGCTTGAGATAAACCTCTTGCTTTGTCGCAAGTTCAAGCCACATGTGTGTGACAGTGATTGCATATGCATGGATATCACCCCAAATAGGCGCCCAGGACGCCACGGCTCAAAATTCAGTTTGATTGTCGTCCACCAAATCAGCCTAGTATACTTACTATATGCTGTAATTGGGTATTCTAGTGCCACTAGATGTGCCTGTCACCATATTATGCGGATACTAACATCTCGACACACGTAACTGTCTATAATTGGCCACATCATCACTCTAACAAATCAAGAGCTGAACAAAGGATGTGATTGATGGCCATCGGCGTTTAAAATTGCAGGGTCTGATTGGTGATAGTCCCCACATCATTCCATCTACTCCTGGGGGAATGGTACTTTTCGAGAGTCTTGTTTACCCCCTGACCGCGTACTTATTGGAGTGTTTCTCCTCAAAAAAAAAAAACTTCGACAAGTTCTGTGAAACCCCCTATTGAACAATCAAGGACGACACATATCAAACGGTATGTACGTTTTGGCATCAACTCATAGACAACCCTATCTCTAACATAAGTGTTGTAGATTTATCAACATGAGCTCTCTCCAATGCCATCTTGACATTACCAATGAGCCTGGCTCAGAGGATGAGACAGGTGAATCTATCACTTCCGAAGGCCAGGTTGAGCAGGAAGCTACTCATCTGCGACCCTGGAATGGCTTTTGGCCGCGCCCTCTTACCGTTGTGAAGCCGGGCGACATCATCCCGATTCAGGGCAACTAAAGAGAGTGGTTGAAGGGTTGAAGGGATGCGAAACACCTCTGAGCAGCGGCAGTAATCTGGAGATTTTGTTGTTGGCGCTATCAGATCAGTCATTACAGAATGAGATGTTTATCCTTGTCAATGATACATGCATTGTATTTTCCAATCTAAGTGCATCTCATAAAAGCCAATAACTCTTCGATATGATGGGTCAGCGATTGCTCCCTATTGCTGTTGCATAATGTCAACCAACACGAGCCCTCCGGGTCGTTGCGTCGGAGGTATGTTGGAATGTAGTCTACTTCAGGCGTCTCCGGACACATCTACATACCCTGGGGTAAGCTGAGGCTGGAAAGCAACCATAAAAGCCACATTCCCATCATCATGCACCCTGTAGACAGGGAAAAGCTTCCCATGTGAGGACCTGGGTGTAGCTGGCTGTCAATCTTCTGCTTGAAGGCAAGCCGCCAATCTGGCTTCAATTTCTTCGGCAGACCTTCGATAGAATCTGACAGATCCGACTGAATGCTATTGTCTTCTGTCACGATGATAATACCGGTAAGGAACTCTGGTTATATATTGTCGATATGTAGCCAGGCCTAGATTTGATCACGGAGAAAGGTCGAACTTGGTCTCGCCGTGGCATTCAGTCGAAAAACAGTGGCGAGGGAGGGGATAGTGAAGCCCTATGATTTAATGGTATCATAGACAGACCTCCAACTCTGGCAGTGCGAGGAAGTTGTTGTTTAGTTGAAAGGTGTGATCCTCAAACACTGGGACAGGTGCCATGGCGGAAGTGCCTTACTATAAAGTTACTAGTTAATGACTGTAATGTCGTCTATTGCAAATAATTCTTCTTGATCTGTTCTAATGGAATATTCCAAGGTCAAAGGAAGTCAGTTCTCCGGGTTACGGGCTGGCCCGTATCTCCCCCACTACACTACGCATGACTGGGCATCCACGTGGTTGGTATAAGCCTTTGCTTTTACTAGGCCCACTATAATTATTAGTAGACCTAACCGCCTCATTTTATTTTTTGGGGGGTATCTTAGACCCTAATATCGGGCTACAGCCATTCACATATAAGACGGTTGCGAGCGTTAGGTGTGTCCTTGAGCAATGAGTATAAGTTGTTGAACCAGTTCATTAAGCAGCCAAGGAATTAACCAATACAATAAGTATAAGAGAGCAAAAGCAAGAAAAGGCAACGGGGTATTCACACTCGTTCTTTGATCAGCAGCCTCCACCACAGCCTCCTCCTCCTCCACCTCCTCCTCCGCAACCACCGCCGCCACCACTAGATCCTCCGCAGCCGCCACCGGATCCGCCTGTATAGAAAACATATTAAAATCTACTGCAAGTCGAGGTTCATAAAGACACTCACCACACCCTCCACCACCACCACCTCCTGCGCAGCTACCTGCGGCTACGGCACCACCTTTTGAAAAATCAGTCTCAGTCAATACTTCTAGAAAGGTGACGAAGCACTTACCACACGTGCCAGAGCAACAATTCCCAGCGGCACCTACAGTAACATTCATGCAGGCAGGATTACACGCGTATGAATCACAGTTGATGGACGGGTCCATCATATATGGTCCATAGTATGGCACCATAATGGGGTACCCATATGCATAAGGCATGTAATATGCATAAGCGTCACCCTGCTGATTAGAAGATTTGGAGCCAGATCGTTTACGGCGCTTCTCAGCACGCCGGGCAGCCTTTTCGTAGTTGCTCTGTAGACGCAGATGTTGCACAGATTTAGTCCACTCAGCCCGATGGTACATGTTTGTTGGCCGGACGGCGTTGTGCGAAGAGATATGTGGGTTCTTGTTTGGGTCGGACGAGATATCGGGGCTATCATGCAAGAGGTCTGCAGCGGCTTGGGCGCGAGAGACTGAGCGAGCAGTGATCCACCGGCCATACAGGTCTGGTGTTCTTGTCGCCTCGCAGTACCAGCAGGTACATTCGCTGTATATCTCACCGTCGGTGACACGGCGGTACATTTTGCTAGTCCAGGCAAAGCCGTCCGAGAGTTTTCCCTCGTCGACTTTGTCGTCGTGGTCGATGAACATACGAATACCACCATATTTTCCCTTCGACGTGCTGTATTTGTAGTACCGCGATGGGCTGAGTTGGTGGGTGTGCCATGCCAGATCAACATCCAGTGTGGGCACGGCCATCTTATCTGGGTTGTCAATCATAATCTGGAAGAACACCTCGTATTTTTTAATCAGCCGGTCCATAGTGTTGAAGACTGTCGGTGAGTGCAACCAGTCGATTTGGTCCATTTTCTCCACGAAGGTGCTTTGTCTGATAACAGCGCCCACAAGGTCTAGCGCGAAGGGACCGAGGTTATCCCAGTATCGGGACATCATTCTTCGGAATTGGACCTTCTCGCCATACTTGATACCTTTAAGGTAGATACCATGTGCTTTCCACAAAAGATTTCTGTCGCGAAACTTCAACTCGAATTGCTGCCTTAGGTGGGTGATATTCTGACACCGATCCACTCGGCCATCAGTGAATTCCATCAAGTCCTTTTTGGCAGCCTGGACTATTCGTGTGGGGAATAGCATGTCCCGGAGTGCCCGCGGATTGGGTTTGACAGATGGGCCCCCCTCGGGGATTCCATAAAGATTGGTGAACGACCCGGGCATAGGGAGATCTTCATAAATCGTTGCTTTGAGGTCTTTTCGAAACTTTGCCACCTTGAGCCGGCCATGGTCGATCATGTGGTCACAACCGACGCATTTCGTCTCGAATGAATAATCGGCGAAGCCATTGCTAAATTTGAAGGCATTGGCAACAAGTCCCCCAAAGCGAGCTTCTGTCCACTGGACATCGTTCACCCGTCCGCAGCAGGGGCAGTTGACTTGCGTAGTCGGCGGGTCGTGCAGATTATTCCACTTGAAGTTCATTTTCTGCTCGAACAGCTGCTGGGCTTGTTCAGAAACTGTATACTCCATCGTGTGGTTGTTGATGCAGCTGTTTATCACTTCCCATGGAAATCCTGTGGCCCATGTGCTTATCTTACCGTATCGAATGCAATCCTCAAGGAAGTTCCGGGGATTCAACGAATGAGCATGCCAGACCATCAAAATATCTGTAAAGTAATTAGTCAATCGTCTTTTTGCCTTCAAATCAACACATTACCTATCGGGGGTAGATTTTCCGTGCTCCATGCAACTATCGTATCACAATTAAGGATTCTTTCATAGTCGATACACTCCAAGTCATTAATAGTTGCCATCGGTCTTGACCGGGGAGGCCAATAGACCACCACTTGGTATATCGATCGACTGCACGCGCTGCATAGACAGCCCAACGCTTTTCGCGAAGACGAGCCCGCGCTTCATTCAGTGAATTCGGGAATTTTTCAGCTTCAGCATCGTGGATACCAAAGATCCCGTCATCACTAGAGATGGTATCTCGCAGATCTGCCAGCACAGCCAAGAACTTGAGATGCGCAACACACTGGTCGCGAGTTACGGTAGTTGAAGAAGATGGATGGGAACTCAGATCCAGCTGGGGCAGTTCTAATGGCGGCTGCTGCTCGACCTGGTTGGCCGAATAGGAAGGTGGTTGTTCGCTGGAAGATTTGACTTCAGATTGCTGGGGTGCCTCTTTGGACACTTTATCCGTTGAAACACCCATGTTGGCGGTTGATAGAGTAAGTATGTCGTGAGTGAGTGTGTTGAGTCAAGTCTGAGAGGCGGGGTCCGGCGGCCCTTTATATTAGTTTAATGATGAACACGTATCTCATTATCCGAGGACACCCAGATAAAGACAAGTCGGCATGGCGCTTTGATCGAACTCATGACCTTTCAAAGCCCCTGAAACGGACGAGGTGGACTAGATGGACATAGTTACGGACAACATGATGGCAATTGCTACTACTAATTGGTCTGAAGTATCGAAAGCCTTGGCTAAGCCTCCACGAAATGTGAAGATCGTGGTAAATTAACGAGACCATCGTATTCGTTTATCATCCGAGCCAATAATCCGAGAACGTTGTCTTCAACTTCATAACGGATTGGTTCACGGGCGTAATCGGGCGCGGTTGCACTGCCTTGCTGCCTTGGTGGCTTCGTATGGAGTAGGGCCCAAGGCTGAGTGGAGATGCGCTGTACAACTTACATTATACATTGTACACAAGAGTTTCTAGTGTTTTTCTAGCGCCCTTTCCATATGCTTGTCCTACGTACTTGTGGAATTACTCTGTCCTATGAAAAGCGATATGGATAACTCTGACGGCTCATATCCGGTCACGTGCTAGGAAGACCGAGCCCAGGTCACGTGGAGAAAATGGGAGAATCTCCGGTCAGGTGATATGCCCCTCCGAGCTGACTCATCGATGTTCCCGGAAGAAGTGCGCTCACCGAGTGGGAACGAGAAAGTTGAGACGGTTTTGTTGGAGAAAGACAAGAAGGAAACCGGAATAACCAAACCAAAACCAAACTGCGCGTGTCAAGACCAAAACTTTGTATCTGCGAATCCGTCCGAATCTCTCCCACTGTCTCAAACCGAGATCTCGATCAGCAAAAGCGTCATTCAGCCTGGCTTCTCTCGGGCGATCAAACGGCATCGGAGAGGGCCAGGCCCAAACTCTTGAACCGATTACGACCATTGATAATGCTTCTATTGGCACCAATCCCGTAATGGCGGGTGTAAATCAGTTGCCTGTCTCAGTTGCCGCCGATGGCGTGCATGGTCGCAAACGCAATATGACCATTGCGGGGATCGACAGTTCTCCGGGGAGTATCGAGGATATGGATGACAATGATGCGCGCGAGGAGAAAAGACGTCAGCCAGTGAAGCGCGCCTGCAATGAATGTCGACAACAAAAAGTAGGTCTAGCGTATTACCGCAAAAGTCCTCCAGCTTGACTAACCTTTTCGGATTGGACAGCTCCGATGCGATGTCATTCAAGACCCATGGACCGATTGTTCACGATGCCGTCGGCTGAGGCTCGATTGTAAAATCGAGTCTAACTTCAAACGTGTCGGAAAGCGCAGCCGCAATGCAGAAATGGAGAGAGAAATAATGGAGCTCAGGAAGCAGATTGCTACTGGCCAACCAGTCCCTGGAATGTCACAGCAACAAGCTTTGACCGCGGGACAATTGACACCCAAGCAAGAATCGAGTCAAGTCAGTCCCGCAGTCTACCAAACACCATCAGCTATGTCCGCAGATCAGTACATGGGATCTCAAGAAGCTGTAGCATCCCTCCTGGACCTTCGTTCGGGCTTCGATGGCACCAACTTCGTGAGGAACGGTGGACAAATTAGACGAATTGAGGACGTTATGGTTGTTCCCGAGAAAGTGGCAGAACTGTTTAATATGTGAGTCCCCATCTGGCAAGTCTCTGTGATTGATCTAACTTCTTCCCGTCAGATTCTTCACGTACTACCACCCTTTCCTTCCATTTTTGGACCGAAACCAGTCACCCGATGATTATCATAGTTCCTCTTCGTTACTTTTCTGGACAATTCTTAGTGTCGGTGCGCGACGCTATCTAGGCGATTCGAATTTGTTGAATTCCCTTGCTGGTCCTGTCAGCCGGCTGGTCTGGAGCACTCTAGCAGATATCCCTCAAAGCTATCATGTTGTGAAAGCTCTCGCTCTACTATGTTCATGGCCGTTCCCTACAAGCAGCACCTCAACGGATCCGACCTTCATGCTGTGTGGAATGATGGTACAAGTTGCTATGCAGCTTGGTCTCCACAGGCCTTCTCACACTCAAGACTTCAGTAAATTCCGAGTGGAACTTATCGAGGATGAATTGAGAGACAAGGTGCGAACTTGGGCGATTTGCAATATCGTTGCTCAAAGGTATGTACCAAAACCTAATCAATTGCTGCTTGTCTTTATCTCATATTTTACTGTGCAGAGTTTCCACCGGCTATGGACAGCCATCATCTACTCTTTATGACTGGACGTTATCCTCCAGCGATTCGTTAGACCCGAACTTCAAGCTTCCTGACGATATAAGGCCAAGATTGGAGATCGAAAAGTTCTGCGACAGGGTCACTCAAGCACTTTACACAAATCGACGCGATCCTGTTGGCTTAACCAGCGACCACGAACGTTCAACAATGATTGCCTTTCTATCGCGAGACTTTGAGGAGTTGGAAGAACAGCTTAAATCGCAGAATGACTGTAAGCTTCCGAATTTCAAGTGGGGATATATTAGATGCATGACTAACGACATATAGGTATTACTGACTTGTTCCTCCGTGCTGCTAACCTCCATTTGCACCTTTCGGCATTCTTTGACGAGCCGACCACTAAAAATTACCGCGAACGCGTCTTTTCTCTGTATGTCGCGACGACATCATTCCTCGAAGTTGTCCTAAACCTCGAGACCGAGGTTGGCCCGGTCATCTCTTACACCCCGTACTATGTCTACCAGATGATGGTTGCCGCCGGTTGCACTCTTTTAAAACTGTGCAAGAGCTTCTTTGCCTCTCACATAGACATGGAATACACCAAGAACCTATTCAACCGTACAATATGGGCCATCCGAGGAGTGTCAGCATCCAGCAACGACCTTCCCGAACGACTTGCTGAAGTGTTAGCTCAGATGTGGAGATTGGGAGGAGCTACTCAACGGACTAACAATAGTACCGATGTTGACGACTCCCTGCGACTCAAAGTTCGCTGCCGGATGAGCATGTCCTTGCTTTACGACTCTGTGTGGCGTTGGCGAGAGGATGCCAGGACCAAAGGCCGAAACATTGAAGGTCAGTACTCCTTTAGAATATAAGATATAAATCAGAAGTCGCTAACCTTTGATTCTAGCCTATCTGAAAAATCCAACAAATCCTGACTCAGCAGCTGATTCTTCGGCCACTTCATCTGTCGGGCCTGTACACACATCTGCAATGGCACCAGGAATCTCTGGGAATGATCCAAGCCTTGCCCCGGCACCCCTGCTATCCCAGGCTAGCCTTGGGATCCAACAACCCACAGGTCAAGCAAACGGACTCCCAAGCGGCTTCATTGAACCTAATTACGAAGTCTTCGATCCGTTGAACTGGCTGCTTGACGGCCTGGTAGACTTGCCTTACTCATACTCCACGATGGGGGGAGTAGAATCCCAGGGCATCGTATAGATTGGCCTGCTAATATTTTCTCGGCGTTATTGCCGGTTTTTTTTCTATTTTTTGCGGGCGTGGCTTGCGTTACTTGTATCATTATACCACATATTTGATCGCTGATACTTCCCAGGGAGTTTGTTTATGTTGATGTTATTTTCATATCCGTCTATATTTCTTATGGGTCCCTTGTACGATGTCCTTGGTTCTTTTCCAATATGATGCTATGTTTGGCCTCAAGTCCCTGTCCAGAAAAAGCCGACAGATTTAGCCTCATGCAGTTATAAAGTCCGGTACATTATGTACGTATATCACACCGAGTTATTTTTGTCGCTTCTTTTTACGAGCCCATATTCGCTCCGTAGAAGAAATTTCATCCTAGCATGGTGATATTCTTGCTTTTCTTTCATCATCCTTTTTGCTAGACGAAACCTATATAATCTCGGTCATCCTGGCCCTTCTTGTCTATTTCTTCTCCTTCCCATTGCTTCTTCAGAATACATAAAATGGCTTTCCTTTATGACCTCAATTGGATCGATGTGGAGCCTCGCATTTTGACTATAGTACTGTGCTTACTTGTTTCCTTTCTCTTTTTCTCTGTGGCTGCGGCCGCTTTGGTGTTTACTTCCTATCTAATGGCTAACGTTGGTGACCTCCCCCGTCTGGTGATGATTGTCCAAAGTACAAATTCACAAGATGCTGATATGATTTGCTGAGGCAGAATCAAGTTCCTTTCTCTGTACGCAAAGACTGTTTCTCGATCTTATACCAACAGTACAAGTTTGTCGTGGACGGGCCTAGTATAATAAAGAAAGGCTATGAACAATTCGCAAATGGCTTATTCGAAATCCCGCGGACATTCCGCTTTGGCCAAGTCATACTATGCCAGCCAGAATTGATTGAAGAACTAAGAAATAAACGGAGTACTCTTGTCTCCCCGGAGCCATGGATTGATCAGGTAGGGCTTCCGGGTGGATTCTCTATGTTTAGGCTAACAAATATTATACAGCTCCTCCAGGTTTCTCATGTTATGCCTGGCTATTTCCCTAAGGAAATGGGATGGCCAAAAATCGCTAAGATTACGCCTGGTTTGATTCGTGCCACGGTTTATAAACACTTGCATCGGTATATGCCCGCTATGAATCAGGCAATTATCTCGCAGCTGCAGACCCTAGAGTTCAAAGACGGGGGTAAGTTCAGGCCACTCTATAGCTGAGATTGTCTCTAATTTCCTCAAACAGAATGCGAAATTGGCTGCTTTGATCTGGCATACTCGATCGTAGCTCGCAGTGGCAGCTTTGCTATTGTGGGCTCGCGGCTTTCTCAAAACGAGGAATATCTTAAAGCTGTCAAGGACCACATCCTTGGGATGATAGTGACCACTCGTGTACAATTTCTTGTTCCAGATTTCTTGAAACCGTGAGTGAGATACTTCATTGATTTCATTTTCCATGGACTAAGACACGAATAGCTACATTGGTGGGCTCATCGGTCGCCTCGCCACTCTTGGGACTAGTTGGGATATGCACGCCTCGCGTAAGATTATGCTAAAACACTTCGATGCACGTGCAGCAGAATATCACGCCGAGATATCCGGTGGCAAGGGACCTAGTGAGACTAATCTTGACAAATCGAACACTCCGGTACCCCTGTCTTCCCCTCCCCCTCCATCCAATGACACCATGACTGAACGATCTATAGGTTGAAATCTTCCAGTGGCTGTATGAGAGCAGTGTTCTTCGGGAGCGATGGACATATGCAGAGGTGATAGGCGAAATGTTGCTGCTGCAATTTGCCTTTATCTATACCACGTCCTATGTAAGTGCTCTGTACGCATGTCATAATCCTGGAATCTGCTAATTTAAACACCAATAGGGACTGTACGGCGCCCTGGCTGAGCTAGCTCGACGACCCGAATATATTGCACCCCTGCGTGAGGAAATTGATATGTTTTTCTCCGCAATGGGACCAACCGTTCCAGCCTGTGATGGCATGGTTTTGATGGATAGTTTCTTGAAGGAGTGTCAGCGGCTGCATCCCCCTTCAGCACGTATGTCGCGATCACCCTTGGGTATTGTATTGTGCGTGGCTAATGCAATGATATGATATTAGTCTCTGCCCATCGGGTCTGTGTTAGTGACCTCAAACTTTCCAACGGTTCGTTCTTGAAAACACACTACCAGCGAGGAAACATTGAGCTGATCAAGTATGGAATACAACAGGAATCACACTCAAGCAGGGCTCCCATGTAGCCGTCCCAAGCGGAATCATCCAACGATCGAGCGAGCACTATGCGAACCCTGACGCGTTCGACGGTTTCCGGTTCGTCAAGCGTGCAGCAGCTGGAGCCAAGGACTCCCGGCTTGTCGACCTGAGCCCAGATTATCTGGTTTTTGGAATGGGCGCACATGCCTGGTAAGTCATGTTTCTGGCTGGCCATTTTATTTTCATGTCCTGGTTTCAAACCCAACCGCCCGAATCCCATCGGCTGACTTTTGCTCGTGTTTGTAGCCCTGGACGATGGATGGCTAGCGCGCTCATGAAGCTCGCCTTCGCACATATCCTGGATCAGTATGACGTACTCCTTCCTAATTCGGCCTCCCTGCCCTTGACTGGCTCGCTGTCATTCGAGGAGTTTTATGTGCCCAACTTTGGAGTAAAGATAGCTCTGCGCCAGCGCTAGTAAGGACATCACCCGGGTGTTTGGGTGCATGCCAAAGGGAGCAGCTAGAATCTTAATAATGTTTCGGGAAGATTAATATTTATTTCATCATGTTGGACAATATACAGCGCAGCGTATTCTACCACTTGACCATAACAAACCAAGCCAGTCTGACACATCAACAAATACGTTGGTTGCCTTGGCGCCTTAAAGCACTATCAGATAAGCTGATAAGATTTCGACTCTTATCTCCAACTGTTTCAACTTCATCTCTTCCTCGTCATCCCTCGAAATCATGGCTTCGGCTTCCTCCCAGAAACCTCGACCTCTACTCATCCCACATAAGCGCACCCTTTTACCCCTACCAACTAAGGGACAAGGCCCCAAAGTATACAAAGTCCTCAATCCTAGCGCCATCCCCGCAGAAATGAGCATCAAACAATCATACGAAGAGGCCACTCAAGAAAGACGTAAACACACAACTTCAAGCGCGCATAACAAAAGTACATTTGAAGACGAAGAAGACTACGAGCCCCAGCCCCCACTCTTTGAAGTCTCATTCTCTATGCCGCCACAGCCCTTCCTCGACCCACCGACTTGGGAAGCGATGCTCAAACACAGCCGTGAGAGACTAGCGACACAGTCAACAAAAGATGAACCGCGCTCAGCGTCGGATCAGGAAGACGAATCGGTAGAGCGAATGAGACAACGAGTGGAGCGCGAGACGGAGTATGGGTCAATGGCTATTCGGGGCCGGTCAAGTGTACGCGGGCGTGGGAAGAGGGGAAAGGGGAGAGGCGATGTCTACTGGGGTGGTAGACATTGATTTTGATGTGTTCGGGATGAGCTTGATGCTTTTTAGATACCCCCATATTTGGTTAGTAGGCCAGATACGACCATTTGAATAGCCGGCTGCCTTTAAAACACCTAGAATAGTTATGTAGTATCACGCTTTCATAGTACATCGTGTGTGCTCCTGTATTAATACATTACTTAATGGACACATTTACATCCGCCCTGGAGCCAAGAGATTATTGCTTCATAGGCCATCTTATGTTACACAACGTGAAAGCAAGGGGCAGCTCGGAGCCCTTATTCGGTCTTGGGCTGATTAGACTGATGAACAGGCTAGAAATTCGATACTTACATATGCTAGAAGTAAACAAAACAAATTAATGGTACATCTGAGAAGTCAACAAAAGTCGAGACAAAGGAGGAATAAAAACAATGGAATCATCATCATGGGTTGGTTCATGGTTCATAATCATCATAGATCTCACTCATATCAAATGATCATCTCGGGACATCGAAGCAATTTCAAAAAACCAAAAAAAAAAGCAAATGCATCGTGAAATCGTCGGGCAAGTGTGTTTGAAATGCGTGAAACATATCGAATCATGAATGTGAGGATAATATGAGACGCAACGGAGAAAAGGACATCATAAGTCATCTCATATCCACCTCAGCTGTAGCACTAGATGCCACGTAGACAGGGCCACCGATACTCCGTTTGAGGATTTCCCTTCGGACAGCACGCTTTCTCTCGTCTCGTCTCTGCCGTACGCGTCGCAGACGATTCCGCACATTACGCCATGACATCGTCTGGAGTCGCAGTCCCCAGCGAGAGAGAGACCGGAAGGGAGTCGGCTTTAAGGGGGATCCTGTTCGGAACATGCCCTGATCAACCAAGCTACCGTTGCTAGTCACCCCATTGAACAGGCGTTTCATTTCTGGGCTGCGGCGTGCTAGAGCAGCCGGGCCGTCGAAGATGATGTGCCGCTGGGGCAGGCCTAGAGAGTTGTTTACAATCAAGGATTCATGGGGGCGCGGCAAATTGTTCCGCATCGGCGGGGGTTCTTTCTCTGGGGACCCGGGTACGTCATCCCAAAATCCACGGGGCCGCCAAAAAGGATACTGACGACTGTCCATTTCCAGTCCTGCGGTTCGGTTCTTGGCCGATTTCATGGAGAATGACCGCGCTATAGTATTGAAGGAATCCGACCGAGGGCGTGCGCTCCAGGTACGACGGACGGACCTCCATCGTCGACCGAGGCCTGTGTTTTCATCTTGAGCGTCATGTAACGGAAGCGCGGGAAAGGGTCTGGTGGATGGTGGCTTGGGTGGAGTGCGAGGGTTCTTTAAAGGCGAGTCGACGTTGAAGGTTGCTGTTTGTGATGGGTTGTCCGGCGTGCGAGGGGGTTGGGGATGATCATAAGAAATCCCAAGCGCCTGGAAAGGTCGCCTCTCGGAGGCTTGTACCCGAGGGTCAACAAGCAGCAGTGAGTTATTGTTGTGTGCGAACAGACTGACCGCTGTAGCCTCTTGAATTTCAATGGGTCCCGGCGAAGACGATGGAACCGAGCCTTGGGTGAAAGGGAAAGATGGAGGACGCAGGGTTGCCATATCATCTGAGCTAGCAAAGAGGGAGCGCAAATTGGGAGCTTCGAGTAGGCCATTGCGGTCAGGCGAAGCCAGAACGTTGTGACGAGGCGGGGGCACCGGCTGATGCTCACGGCGTTTTTGCATCTTGAGGTCAATGGCTAAGTTATGGCTTCGTAGACTCTCGGAAGTAAGGGAAGTCGCACGAGAATTATTCTGGCTCGTTGGTGCAGAAAGCGACGAGCTTCGGGGGGTACTGCGGGACGCTCCGTGGGACAACCTTTAGAATCGGTCTCGCGATATCGATTCGATGTTGAATCAGAGACGGTGCGTTTTTCCTGCCCCAAGATATCCGTGCGGCCCGTTGATGCTGTCAGAGGACGACGAGTTGATAGACGAGAACCCGGTTTGGAAGAAACATGACTGGTCGGACGAGACCTGAGAGATGAACTTCTCTCCGGTATGACCACTACGTTGATGGTTTCGATATTGGGCTGTATTGGACTGTTGCTAGTCTTGACCGGGAACGGCATCTCCGATGTTCCGCTTCGAACATCATCAGAGATGCGAGCAGCCTTGTGAATCAGGCGGTGCTGGGATTCAGGGAGGGACGCATAAGAGGTACGCTCAGACCTTGTGATGGGAGAGCTGGCAGACCGTAGAGAGCTCCTCTTTTCGGTATGCCGGAGCATTCGCTGGGCTCGTTTGGGGGAGTCGATTATCATGGCCTCAACGGTGGATGTCGAGGAGATGACCGACAAAGGACGGGCGTCTGGTCCACTAAATATTGCTGGACCCTCCGGTGATGACGACCCAATATTCCGACGGAACTGCTCCACTGAAGTACTTTCTTTGACTTCATGCGCACCATTTGCACGGTCCTGCAGACTTTTTTCCCTCATCAAAGAGGCATCCAGGTGCTTCAAATCCAGTGCTTCTCTCTCGGGTGTTGATTTATAGACTGATTTAGTGAGGTTGTGATTTTGTGCAGACTTTCGCTTTCCTGCTAACGGTGTTGGCGACCCATCGATGGGGTTTGCGGCCCAATGCCCATCAAAAGACTCGAATCTAGTGTCGCATCCAGTTTCGCCATGTTGAGAAGAAGCAGGTGACGGAGATCCTTTTATATTTGAAGGGTGTGAAAGATATACATTTGAGGTGGGTGGCTTTGATGGTTGCCGCCTTTGTTTCGGTGTCTGGGCCGTGGTCTGAGACATGCGGACCGGGGTGTTCATATCTTCTTCGGATGAGATATTCTCCAAAGCCGTTTGAAATGAATCGGCTCGAGACGACGAGGAGAAATAATTAAACTGGTTCAAGGTAGGTCGCTTATTCGAGTTTGTTCGAGGAGGCGTCACATCCGGGGTTGGAGGCTTAGAGGCACGGCGAGGGGTCAACATTTGGGATGTTGGAATATCTGACAGAGAAGAATTCATTTTCTGGGGTGTTCGTTCGTCAGCCACGAGTTCTTCGTGGCCTGCACCCGGGGGTGTCAAGGGAAGCGACGGCGTCGCAGTATGTCTCCCAGTCTGATCCGGGGAGGCCGGTTGGATAACTTCGATGCTGGGAACGATTACACCCCGCCGAGGCAGCATCTTGTGAGACCTTAAGAGCGGCCGCTCAAACGCTTGCAAATCCTCCGATGACCCCATCACTTCTACGCCCGGCATCTCGGAAACAGCACACCACGGAGACCTGAAGCATCCACGGTCGCTTTTGTGAATTCGATCGAAGGGTTTAGATATCCTTGGGCATCATAGTACTGGGTAGAACGTTTCGTTTAGAGGGTCGCAAGGGTCGCATCACGCACGAGCACTTCGCGACCAGATGCGACCTGGTCAAAGTCAACGGATCTACTCCGTAAAGCCCAGAGGCTTTGCTTTGTCTCTGTATGATGCAGGGGGTCGCCGATCGTCCGAGGTACATTCGAGTCCACTGCAAAGGACAGACAACAGTTCAATACGGAGAAAGGAGCATGGATATTTTCACAACTGAAGACTCCGATCTGTACAATGTGAGCTGTAAGGGTGGGGATGGACGATATTGACGAGTGGCTGGGGGGGGGGTCCAGTCTTAAACCCTCTTATCCCCGTGTTTCAGCCAAGTATGAGGCAATAAATAATCATCCAGACAACGGGGGATAAGAGAATAAGAGAATTAAAAAGAGTTCAAAAATTCTCGCATGAAAGATTGAATAATCTGACGAAGGGGCTAACTACAGATTCCAACCTGTTTCCCGCTGATTAGCGCCTGTTTCCTATTCAGGTAATATTGATGCCTTGCAGCCTCATCTGCCTCATTTCATTAAGACTTCATCACAACCGTGATCACACTGCAGATCAAACTAGCTTCTAGATCTGATGCTACCATGGCTTGGGGTTGCCTTCTTATTAAGGTAGTTTCAGTGATAGTTATTATAGGTTCATCCTTAAGTGTGAATCAGTGGCTGAACTACATCCTACAATGTACGATGTATATGCTCGACCTAATCTAGAAAATGAGATCATGTGGAAACTTGAAATCAAATATGTCAATATTCCCTGGGCATACTCCGTACTCCGTAGGTGTCTGGGGTCTCACGGCTCTATCAGAGCCCTTACTTGGCATGGTTGGCCCTTGATGTAGCATACATTCCAGTCCTGGGGAGAGAGGGATGAAATGCACATCCTTATTTCGCGCTCTCGCAAATGAAGAACTACGGATGTCAAGTAACCAAGCACACCATATGTATGTTTGGATTCTCTTTTCCGATGGCTCTCATTTGAGGGAATATGACCTTCATTTGAAAGTGCACACCTAGCTAATCTCGTACTGCGAATACATCAAGGATGAACACGGTAGGCTTTCGAAAACTTGAAATAGAATTTATGCCTCTACCATATGACGAAATTACCTATTCGAGATCCATTCACGCCATTGAGCGTGGGTAGTCACTGCATGCTCATATAATGAGTGGTAACCCTAGACGATGGACCTCCCAAGGTCGGGATTCCTAGATAGTTACTAAGCACGGCATTAGGCCGGGGCCCCGACACACGGCTAAACCTAACGCTGTACGCTGTTGGACGGTTTCTCTTATATGACTTGATCTACATAGCCATGTGGGGCCAAATGTAGGTAATATGTCAAGATATTCCTAATACGGAATATGTTGTATATCAATGGAGCTTCATCCCATATTTATATCCTCCTCACTTCCAAGGCTGGTATGCTTTCGTAGATAAAGTAGATAAAGCATTCCAGGAAAGGGTTCCAAGGTCGAGATCCATCTTCATACTGGGGCTCTCCGGATGATTAGGAGACTAGAAGCATAGCGGATGTTCTCAGATGGGCACCATAGGTTGGTTAAAGCAATATAAATCTGTGAATTTGTGAATCTATGAATCCAGAATTCTACAGATCCAATAATCCCAAGCATGTGGCAACGGGTGATGACGATATCAATATCCACACAAGCCAGGGTTGTAAGACTTTTGGAATCAGGTCAAACCAGCATTTGATGTGAAATATTACCTTGACAAGGTAGTATTGTCTAGGAATATTCCAAGAAATCGAATTGCCTATACAGGTTAGGAGTTAGGAGGTCTGGCCTCTGGTCTCTGGTATCAAGTCTCTGGGGTATATCCAAAAGAAAGAACATCCCACAGACTATGCAATGAAGATATCAGAATAATATACTTTGAATATAGATAGATTGCCCATTACCGTGGATCAGTGGCGTACCATGACGTCCTGCGAGGATGGTGGACTTGTCTGGTCTTGGCAGATGACATCGCAGGGAAAGATCTCTCATTTCGTCATAGTTCTCCCCCGCCATCATCTTCTCTCTCTCCTTTTTTTCTTGGTCTGTAGGTTTCTGGTCTTGCTTTTCTCTCTATTCCTCTTGTTTTTGTGATTTTTCAAACTCCATCAGTGGAGTAAATCCATCCTTCGACTTGTTTGAAACGCTTCCCCCATTGAAAATCCCTGCTTCAATCGCCGACACCCTTCTCTTCGATCTCTCTGTTTTCCTTTCTTTTCCGAAATCAAACTAAGACATCCAAGACATCTGTTTACGAATCGCGATTCTTCTTCGATATCATGAGTACAATACAGAATATCAAGAATTTCATCCGGCATGGCAAGCAGGCCCGCCTTGTCACCCCTCATTCCGAGCCGACGACCGACGTTTCCACTATCCATGCAGAGCCACAACGCCAACCGATAGGTCAATATTCACCTGCACTCGAGGCTTTTGGCCCTGAAGGCAGAGCCAATGCCCTCCAGAAACCTGATTCTCAAATCAGACAGGATCGCTCTGTCGAAATCGAACGTCTAGTGGCAGAGGAGAACTTGAACCGATCAAAGATGCCCAAATACCCTGGCCTAGAGCGCTGGATCTTGGTAGAGAAGATGGGCGACGGCGCCTTCAGTAACGTTTATCGGGCCAAGGATACGACAACGGAATATGGCGAGGTGGCCATCAAGGTCGTCCGCAAATTTGAAATGAATAGCAATCAGGTAGGTTCTACCGCGAGGTGCCTTGCTCTTCTTGTTTTCCTTGTGGTTTTTGTGTTTTCCTTCCTTCATCGTTACATGGTTTGCAATCTGTCTATAAACATGGCCAATACGTTATGTAGAACGATCCTCACTATCCAACGGTCAAAAAAATCCCCAAGGCGGCGGAGGTGCGCATACAATTCTTTTTCTCACGCTCGGCTTACTTCATGGCAACTTGCGTCTGCCGGCGAAATGATACACTACCCTATGGCATTGCCTTTTTACATGGTTGTGCATCAATCTCGTTTCGTCATTACTGACTAGTCATTTTTAACAGCGGGCAAATATTCTCAAAGAGGTTCAGATTATGCGCAATCTCGACCATCCCAACATCGTCAAGTTGATTGATTTTTCCGAGTCGCGGCAATATTACTACATCGTCCTCGAACTTTGCCCCGGGGGTGAATTATTCCACCAGATTGTCCGATTGACATATTTCAGCGAAAATCTTAGCCGCCACGTCATCCGCCAGGTTGCGGAAGCGATTGAATATCTACACGAGACATCGGGTGTCGTTCATCGGTTTGTCATCCTGTCTGTAGCGATTTGCGCTTGTGAAAGCTAACATTCTCATGAAGTGACATTAAACCGGAAAACCTCCTGTTCTATCCAATTCCCAACGTTCCCAGCAAGAATCCCAAACCTCAACAACCAGGCGACGAAGACAAAGAAGATGAGGGAGAATTCGTCCCTGGAGTTGGTGCGGGTGGTATTGGTAAGATTAAGCTTGCAGATTTCGGTCTGTCCAAGGTGATTTGGGATAGCCAGACGATGACGCCTTGCGGTACCGTCGGATATACAGCACCAGAAATCGTCAAGGACGAGCGTTACTCCAAAAGTGTGGACATGTGGGCCATGGGTTGTGTGCTCTACACACTTCTCTGTGGATTCCCTCCGTTCTATGACGAGAGCATCCAAGTCCTTACCGAGAAAGTGGCGCGCGGCCAATACACTTTTTTGTCACCTTGGTGGGATGATATTTCCAAGTCAGCCCAAGATCTGATCTCGCATCTCCTCACCGTGGACCCGGAAAAGCGGTACACCATCAAGGAGTTCCTTGCACACCCCTGGATCCAGGGTACCGATGAGGAGACTACCGCTGCCGCAGACGCACCCCCTCTAGCAACGCCCTACCTCCATACCGAAAAAGGCCCGCAGCAGCTCGACTCCTCCAGCGCCGAACACGGGCCCTACCAGCCCGCCAGTGCCCGTTTCCTCGATCAACCATCCGTTGCAGCAGACCGGCGCATGGACTTCCGATCTCCGGGCGCCTTCAACCTCCGTGAAGTCTTTGATGTTGGCTATGCAGTGCACAGACAAGAAGAGGAAACAAAGCGTCGTGTGATTGCGCGCCAATCCAACCGCAGTGGTACGGCAGGATTCCAGTCGGCACTGGGTGCTCTCAACGAAGATTATGACGACGAACCCGAATACAGCAACAACCTCGGAGGCCAACCACTCGCTAAAGTGGCCACTCGCCAAGGTGACATGGCCGGAATGGAAGCCAAGCTCCGATCCACGAACCTCGGCGCTCAAAGCAGCGCTGCACAAGCACGACAACTGCCCCACCAGTCAAAGCCTAAACAGGGCTACGGGATGCATGACGCTGCTGTCGCGAGTGCTGCAAAGAGCTCTATTCGCAAGCATCAGCAGCCGTTCGAGCTTACTCTGAGTGGTTCCACATTGCTAGAGAAGCGTGGCCGTCGTAATCAACCGGTGGCTTAAACAGGATGTATTTCTTCCATTGGGGTCATGATGTGATGTCTTCATAACGTCTTTACACTTTGTTGATGAGCGATATTTTCAGATATTTTTATCTCTTGTGTTTTTGTTTCATGGCCATTTTCTTCTTTGTTCGTTATTTTCTTTTTCTCGAGCTCTTTGCGCGTTATCTGATCGGTCCCGGCGAGGAACCTGCACGCTACATAGTCACAATTGGAAAATGGGTGAAGTGGGTTTTCTTTTTCGCTTTCTCTTGATTATCCGGGAGCTTGCTTGGACTGGAATGGAGTTCTGGCATTTTCTTCTTTTTCTCTTTGCTGTCGTTATCATAACTAAGGGTTACGTCCATATTTGTCAAGGATTGGATAAGCATATTTTTCAACATTGCAAGGTTGGAACCTTGAAAGGTTTCACGTATTTCATATAATCTTCCTTTGAGTAGCAGTCTCCATCTAGTCTTTTCTTATAGTACTGACGTAGAAACTTATTCCCGGCCGCTGGTCTATTAAGCCGAAGGGCGAGGTACTATAAAGCTATGTACTTGATTTCCTCCGCCAAGGCTTCCTATCTTAGCTGTCGCCCATTTCTTGGGGGCGCTCAGAGTCAGGCTCACTGAGTAGGTTTCAGTCGGGGCTCAGATTCAGTGAGCTGCTCAGTGCTCAGATAAATCATGTGATGGACCAGTCAGGCGCAAAATCAGGGCATAACCAGTTGATCGATTAACGAGATTGAATTTGGTAATATGATAAGAGGTGGTATTCTGCCAAGAGAGAAAAAAAAAAAAAAGAAACGAAAGAACTCAAGCGGGGAGATCACGAATAATTCCAGCTTTTTTCTGCGCAACGTACAGATGGGCATTTCCGGGCGAGGTGGCAAAGAATAAATAGTCACGCATGGCCTTCCCTGAGAGGCGTACATCTCCCGGACTGTCTGGCTTCACAATAGCACGCTCTTCAAACCAGGGGGTAAGTGGCACAAAGGCAGAAGTGAGAATTTGCATGTCAATAACCATTGAATGCTGGAAAGCCGGGCCATTGGCGGTTGTTACTTGCACTACGCCTCGCATGGCTCCAATGTGGAGTACCATGTTGAACTGGAGTGCCTGGAGATCGGAAGAGAAGAGGGTAAGCACGTTGCTTCCAGTATCATTGCATACTAAGAAAGGCCGTGTCAAGTTTCCGATGCCACCATATCTGGGAGATATCCTGATCTGAGCATGTAGCTAGGTTTTGTTAGTTAATGACCTCAATTAATCGTTGACGTAACTCGGATTGATATACCTGGTGCATATGGAGGGTGTTCGAATAAGCGAAAGTTTCTGAAACAGACTGGGCCATTTGCTGCGGCTAATATTCATAGCACATGATTAGCCAAAGACTCTTGACAATACCATATAGGGTTGGTTATATGATATTTGCCTGGAACTCATGTTGCGACATCATTTGCTGATAATCTAATGTCTGAATATGTTATTAGTATGAGCCAGTATAATATATAGCCAATAGGTCGAAGGATATTCAACAATATACCTCGCACCATCTGATTCCTATCTTAGCCGCATCTTCCCACGAGTCCTTGTCGACTCGTTGTCCATCGATAAGGTAGACTGGGGGATCGGATCGTTGGCGTGGTCCGAGCTCGCCACTTTCATACAGGCGAATGAGGGCTTCGGCATTCACACGCTGGGCTTTGCCGAAATCAGTCTGCAGACAAGCTTTGAGTTGCTCGACGCGCTCTTCAGGCTGCAGAATGTTGGGTATCGCCGGACGACTGAGCTGCTGATACTCTAATGTCTGAATATGTTATAAGTGTGAGCCAGTATAATATATAGCCAATAGGTCGAAGGATATTCAACAACATACCTCGCACCATCTGATTCCTGTCTTAGCTGCATCTTCCCACGAGTCCTTGTCGACTCGTTGTCCATCGATAAGGTAGACTGGGGGATCGGATCGTTGGCGTGGTCCGAGCTCGCCACTTTCATACAGGCGAATGAGGGCTTCGGCATTCACACGCTGGGCTTCGCCGAAATCAGTCTGCAAACAAGCTTTGAGTTGCTCGACGCGCTCTTCTGGCTGCAGAATGTAGGGTATCGGACACGGACATGCAGGACTGAATTGGGGATGTGGATCTGGCATATTGGAGATGGTTGGTGGAAAATGTGGAAAATGTGGGATTGTGTGGGTTAAGGGAAAGTGGTGGGGCTCGCTTATCCTAGTCTGGATTAGCGTGTCACATGTCTTTCATTGGATAATAATACCTTACCGCCTACATCACCGCCTTCACAAACCATCTTCAATAATACAGTGGGGTTTAATAAGTCTGTTCCCACCCGCATTTTCACCCATGAACATTGAAATATATATCTCTACATATCTATGCATAGTACCACCATACTTTACTCAATTTACTTCGAATAAAACAGGGTTAAACCCTATGCCAATCTCGGGTAAAATTTAAATTTAATATTTTGTATAATACCCCTTTGCCTTCCGTACTGCTATATATCTGCGCCCTATACTCAAAATCAATGAATCAATCTTCGACTGCGGAATAGCATCCTATGCTATCTTTATATACCTTTTGAATACTATCTAATCCTCCTCAGACCTTCCTATATATATTAACTTAGGAAATAACTCAAAAAGTTTAACCTTTAGCCACTGCTATATAGGTTCAATTGGGTTTAAATCCGGTGAGTGTAGCGGCCACTCCTCTATATATATCCTGTGAGTTTTAAACTATTCCTATGTGATTTTAGTAGTATAGATCCGAGCGTTATCTTACTGAAAGATAGAGTAGGGTCGATAGAATGGAAGTAGACCTTCTTTAAGAGTATCTATATAGGAAATAGCAGTATATCCTGTTTTCTTCGATTCTAGGTTAATAATATTCTCCCGCCTTATAATAATCAACTCTGATCGACTACCTAACTAGATTATACCCTAAACTATTTATGAAATATCTTTAATGTATACCTTAGTATTTATAAGATCTTTTCTATAGCCTTCCGACCGAAAGCGCTAATACCATTATAGTCTATAGTTTATTATTTATTATACAGAATACTTATCCGAGAAGACCTAGTTTTAAATATTATTTCTAGACTACTTAGAGCGCTATTTTTGAATAAAACGATATTATTATCGAGCTAATTCCTTTCCGATTAGAATCTTCCTTTTTGTCCTATATTTTAGAAGACCGGTTGGCCTTAAAATATTAATAATAGTAGAGTGGGATAGATGACTAGGTATAGTACAACTCAGCGTTTTATAGGACCAAAAGGGGTGCCGGCGGGCGAGTATAAAAAGTAAATGGCGAGTTCGATCACTAAAGATCCTCAGGCGACCGGTTCGAGGGAGAGATTTAATAGTATTATATTCTTTAAACCGTTTCAAAGTATTGTAAATCGTTCGGCGGGAGCACCTAAAATCGAGTGCTAGCTTTGACTGGGTAATACCGGCCTGATAGCTATAAATAATAGCTGAGCGTTATGCTAGGGATAGCTTACCTGATTTTGTACGACCTAAACCAAGAATATCCTTGGTTAATACCATTGGGGGGTGTGTAGGAAGAAGAAAAAAAACACGATGGTTGTTGGGGAGATAGCAAGTGGGGCAGTGGGAACAGACTTTTTGAACACTATGTAGTACGACCAACCATTGATCTCAGACTATATGGCTTTTTTAGTGTCTTTCTTTGGTATCTTATTTGGTGTATTTTATACTTATCTAGCTTTTTTAGTACTTATGTGAGCACTGAGAGAGCTTCTCCCATTCCTCATGGCCGTCTTTCGCATCCCCAATTTAAACGAGGCTGAGGTCGTCGTGGCACTAGTCATACAGAAAGGCTGAACTCTCTTCTGAAAAATACCGCTCGTTCAAGGCACAGACAGAATACCAGTAAGTGAGCTTTAAGGGATCGCTCCAGATGTCCAGTGGGCGAAAGCCACTTTTACCCACTGAGCAAGGTAAATCCGAAAGTGGCAGAGGAAGTCAAGTACATAGGTAGACAAAGACCAGTGGTGGCTTTTTTTTTATAGGCCAAGTACATTTTATGAGTTCGTGATTTGACCTGGAATTTAAGAGAGAAAAACACAAACTTGGTATCTTGATTGGTATCTATGTTCAAGTTCAGAGGCCACCTGGGAATGGCCACTGGATGATGATATATATGACAAGAACACTCTATCCGGTCCATATATTCCCCCCGAGTGCTTTGAGCATGTCAATCCATTGGTCGAATCATTCAGATCGCAATGGCAAGGGAACGGATTCGTGATATATGGGTGCGGTGTCCGTTTTCATTTTGTCGAGTTCTCATCTTGCACTTTCCAACACAAGCAGAAGGCTGTGTGAAAATCGACAATATGCAAGACATTTTGGCAAACCGAAGAGATTTAATCCGCTTCTTAAAGGGTCTGCTTACCCCGAGTCTCAATGGGTAGAAGACACATAGCTACAAAAGAAGCCAGAATCAACCCGCCGGACGCATAGATGGGCGAGTTGGGGTTCGCACTACCGGCATATATAGCGACAAGGGGAGCACAGAGACCAGTGATACGGTTCAAGCAGCTGGAGATACCAGTGCCAGTACCGCGGTTCGGAGCAGGGAAGGTCTCGGGGGTATAGGCGAACAGGACACCGTACATGATGTTCTGGAAGAAGGCCTCCAGAGAACTGCATAGGAGCTGGATGTCGGAGTTCGTGGATGCGGTAAAGCAGAACAGCAACACACCGGTGATCAAGGTGGAGATTGCCATGGTGCCCTTGCGACCAATGTACTTGAGCTCGACCGTCCAGCAAGCCAGAAGAGAGCCAGGAAGACCAACGATAGAGGTGATGGCGTAATTGCGGTAAGTGATGTAGTTCGAGTTGGTCTCACCACCGGATTTGGAGAGGTACTGCGGCAGGAAAGCGTTGAAGAGAGGGTAACCCATGCCGATGGTGGCCCAGCAGAACCAGAGCAGAACGGTATTCCAGCCCATGCGCTTGTTAGCGAACAGGGGCGCAATGCGCTCCATTGAAAATTTGGAGAAGAAGCGGCCCACGATTTGAGAGTAAGAGAGCCCTGTCTCTTTCTCGTGCACCACGACATGACCACCAATTTCGTTGAGGATCTCGCTGGTCAACCAGGTCTTAGTGCCGTTCTTGTGGGCAATGCCATGAATAGCGGCGACGGCTTCTTCCTGGCGGCCACGGGAGAGCAGGAACTTGGGCGACTCGTACAAGTGGAAACAGAAGAAACGTAGGATGAACATGACAAAAGTGATGGCACCCAGAGTGAGAACCAGGTAGCGCCAGCCCATGTTGTTCTCCTTGGTGCAACCTTCATAGCTAGTGCAGCTGAAGTTAGGAATAAAAGCCCATGCAAGCAGACTGCCGATTAGTTGGCCAAAAGGCCACCAGATACTCAACATGGTCAACATGTTGCCGGAGACAAAGGGGAGGAACTCCAGGAAAAGAGCACCATCGACAGGCAGGTTACCACCTACACCAAGACCCAAGCAAGCGAACAGAGCACATGTACTGCATTTATGATCAGCGTAAAATTCAAAATGAGTTATTCTCATGAAGACTTACCCAATCCAAGTAGGGCCACCACCGGCAGCCAGACCAAAGGCACCAGCCATAAATAGAGTGGTGTTAAAAGCAAGACGACGACCAACAATATCAGACGCAATACCCCAGAATGAGGCACCAATACAGAGACCTAAGAATAAAGCACAAGTGGTAAAACGCACCCACGTATCGGAGAGTCCGAATTCGTAGGAGATAGGGGTCAGCGTCAGGGCAACTCCCTACACATGGTTAGATTTGATTTGTGTGATTTGTTTGATTTCGATCTCCTACCTGAAGCCAAAGGTTGTCTGCTGTCCAACCAAAACCACAAAGGAAGAACAGCTCCCATTGATACCGGCCCATGCCGATATCCTGCAGGGCTCTGTTGATCACCTTTGCCTTGCCTGTGTCGTCGAGTTAGATCAAACCCCCAATTTCAGGGAGTTTTCATACGGGAACTAGTGTGAAAATGTGGGATGAACATACGGTCATAGGCAGAGTCATGGGTAGCCGTGGAAATATCAGACTCGATTTCTGCACGAAGGGCTTCGAGGGTCAGATGAGTTGGATCTTTGGAGCCAGCAGCACCATTCTCCGAGGAAGACGAGCGGTCCGAGCTCTGGCTGGACTCCTTGTCTATCTTTTCCGAGAGGGAGTGGACAGGCGCATCGGCGAGTGGTATGACAACGCTGGGAAATGTCGGACTATCCTTTTTGAAAGGGTTAAATTTTTCGAGTCCCATAATGACGGTTTTATATGGCGCTTTGGAATATAGTTTTCAGTCGCTTGGGATTTGCTGCTTCCTGTCTGGTATGTCGCTTTTCGCTTGTTCTATACCGTGAATGTATCGCTGGGAATTCGATGAGAGGTCGACGGTAGATCTACAGATGTGGGAAGGAGTTGCAATGGGGTCATATATCGTAAATCCGGGGGCAATTCGCTGTGGGCCGAAAGTGTCGCAAGGACAATGGTCGAGATATACTGCTGTCAGGTTTTGCAAATGGGCTTGTCGCTATCGATGCTGGGTTTGTCGCAGTCGCAGTCGATGAGACAGTTGTCTCCAGGGTAGTGCAAGCTTGCTACTGAAGAGCGGAAGTACCTCGTGCGCGGCCTTTGTTGAAATGGATTTCTTTTCTCTCGCAAAGTGATGATGAATGATATAAATGATCCGAGGGCATGAACCAGAGGTTCTGCCACAGGGATATAAGATAAAAAGCTAAGAGACGAAGCTCTAGCAAGATATATGAAGGAATTAAGGCAAGCTGGGGGTAGCTATACCTTGTCCAAGATGTTTTGAGAGGTAGCGAGGGGAAAGTTGCGAATTGACAAAAGAGGAAAGAAGGGAAAATGGCGAGGTGGGATTCCAGAGTTGCTATATACTATTAGGGCAATATGCTTCCTTTTTTTTCTTTTTCTTTTATATTACCATTGGTTCTCTGGTACGAGATTTCATCACTGGTCAACGCCGAAAAGTGGGACTGCCAGGAAAAGGTGTGATGACATTCTGATATTCTGCTATGGTCTGTAATTTGAACAAATCTGAACATTTGCCCGCGTTTGGCCTCGCCGAGTGCATA